CGATAAGAAGTCACTGCAGTACTTTAATCTGTGTCTCTACAACTGCCCTTTTCACCATCTTATCATAGTTTACCTCTTAATTTCTGTACAGTTATTATTATTATTTACTTTTTGCAGCTGGGTTAGTAAATGCTTGGTATGCATGCCATTTCTTCTCAGGATGGTGCCCATGGCAGGTGGCACTGACGTATCAGTGACTCCCACTGAGGCTAGACTCAACCTCACTTCTCAGCACAGCAGTCATGCCTGCCACCACTGGAAAATCAGAGTAGGCTTTCTACATGAATATCACCAGCCCAGAGCATTAAATCAAAACTCCTTAATGTGACAGAAGATACCATCTTCACAATTTACATCCTTCTCTCACTGGAAACTCTTATGTCTTATGAACATGCATCTTTTAAGCCCCTCATGCTTCCAAATAATAGATTTTTTAAACTCCACTTAAATGTTATATTCTCAATGTCTTTCTCCATATGCATACACACACATACACTCATAATACACCTCACCCATGTAACATGCATCATGCTATCTGATCAAACACCAAAAATATTTATTGACTATCTATAATACTTTATTATCCATATCTGCACATGTCTTCCTTCCAAAATCGTACAAGGTTCTGACTATTTCTCTAAGAGTAAAAATGGTAGCATTTCTGGATTCCCAATACTTAACATAGCTTTATAATACATTGGGTTCTAAATAAAGATTTAAATGAGTAAATAAATGAAAATATTTAAATTACTAAGATGGAATTATGTCTAGTGGTTGTAAGAAATAGCCTGTAAAGGAACAAATTTCAGTGTTATCGACATTCTGTTTGCTTCTTTATAAAAACAATTGAAAAAACAGTTAATTGTAAATAAAGTGTGCATTTACCAGAGACACACAGATTGATTTTTCTCTTTCCTTCTTCCCTCCCTCTCTCTTCCTTCTTTCCTTCCTTCTTCTCTACCTCCCTCCATCCTTCCTTCTTTTCTTCCTTCCTTCCATCCACCCTTCCTTCTATCCACACTTTCATTACTTTTCTTTTACCTAGTAGTGACTTCATAGAAGGGAAATAGTCAGGATAAGATTTTAACCTAGTTTAATTTCTAAGAATGAACTAAAGTTCAATCATTTCTCTTTCTTGCTTTCTTAATATCCCTGTATATTATTCATTTTTTATAACAATTAAAATATGTCACAAATGAAATAAAAATATCTACTTTTTTGGTATATAAGTTGTCAGTTTTCCACTCATCTAAGAAAATGAAGTAAGACTGTAGAAATGTAACAAAAGAAATAACTGACAAGAGAAAAGAGATGAACAATTATAGATCTTATTTAAACCTAAGGGAAATTTTCTAAGTATATCACTATATCTTTTGCCTCAATTACATATAATGGTTATTTTTTATTAACTAAAATTTCTCAAAGGAAGTAGGACATTTTTGTGTATGAGTTGTAAAATAGGCTTTGAAAGCAAGTTTCAAAGAAAATGTACTTACAAATCAAAACAGTTCTAAACATGTAAAATAGAGTTAATATTTGGATTGATGTTGAACATGAGATGATGCCTCAAATTGATAGAACAATTCAAGAGTTTACACCCATGGGATGCTCTGTGAATGAGGCAGGTTGTTTGGTCAGTGTGTTTTGTTTTATAATGTGTATATTATTTATATATTGACAAATGATAGTAAACATATGAAAAAATGTTCAATGTCATTAGTCATAGGGAAATGCAATTTAAAACCATGATAAGATACCACTTCTTAGAAAGGAAAACTAGATGTTCTGCTCAGCATAATAAGTCTTGCCTTAGATATACACACTATTTTTTATATTTACTTTTTTAAAAACAGCTTCATTAAGATATGAATAACTTGCCAAATAGTCCATCAGCCTAAAGTGTATAATTCAATGGTTTTAGTATATTCACAGGGTTGTGGAATTATCACCACGGTCTAATGTTAGAATATTTTTGTCACCCTAAAAAGGATCCTTTTACCCGTTAGCAATCGTTCCCCATCACTACTCTCTCCCAGACAGAAGTAACCAGTAATATGACTCAGTCTCAACAGATACGTCTGTATGGACATTTCATATAAATGGAATCATGCAATATGTATCTTTTGTGATTTGTTTCTTTTATTTAGTATAATGTTAATAAGGTTTATCCATGCTGTAGCATTTATTAGTACAGCTTTCTTTTTTTTGCCAAATAATATTCTATTGTATGGATATACCACATTTGGTTTATCCATTCATCAACTGATGGACATTGAAGTTGTTTCCACTTTTTGGTTACTAAAAATAATGCTGTTATGAACATTCATGTACAAGTGTTTTTTGGACATATGTTTTCACTTCTCTCATGTATATATCTAAGAGTGGAATAATTGTGCCATGTGGTAATTCTATGTTTAATGTTTTAAAGAACTAATAAACTGTTTTCCAAAGTGGCTACATCATTTTACATTCATTCCTACCTTCTATATATAAGGGTTTGAATTTCTCTATATCTTTCCAGTTCTTGTTAATGTCTATCTTTTTTACTATGGCTATCTTAGTGTGAATGAAGTGGTATCTTATCATGGTTTTGAATTACATTTCCCTATGACTAATGACATTGAACATTTTTTAATATGCTTACTATCATTTGTATATTTTTTATAAAGAAATGTTTATTCAGATCCTTTGCCCATTTTTAAAATTGGATTATTTGTCTTTTTACTATTGAGTAGTAAAAAATATTTTCAAATCTTTTCTGCCATTCTGTGAGCTGTCTCTTCATTTTTCTTATGGTATCATTTATAGCACAAAGTTGTGATTTTTATGTAGTCCAATTTATCTACTTTTTTTGTCACTTGTGCTTTTGGTATCATATCTAAAATAATATTGCCTAACTCAAGGTCATGGAAATTTATTCATATGTTTTCATGTAAGAGTTGTATTTATTTTTTGACTGGCTATAAATATCTCATGACAGGCACATATTAGCTGTGGATTATCCAAGGGCATATACTGTTAAGTCTATTTCAGATTTAGAAAAAACACTTCATAGATATATTTGGGGAAAAAATGTTAGCTTGTGAATTCTGATTGGCTGAGCTTGGAATATGCTTTGGGAATGAAAAATGATGCCCTGTTTTGGTGAAAAACAAAATAATCTGTAGATATTTAGATTACAAGATGGAAAAGAGTTTGAAGTCATCTTATTTTAAAGGTTAGGAAATGCCTGGCAAAGTGACTAATCTAAGACTATTCAGGCCCTGTAAATTAGGCAAAATGAAAAATGGACCCATTTTAGTAATCTTTCCACTACACCAGCATTTCTCAAAATGTTAGAAATGTGTTGGCTGCAGGAGATCAAACTCCAAATTAGTCCTATTTAGGCATAAAAGGTAACTTACTGGTTACATTGATGAGGAAGTCCATTATTGTAGCTGATTTCAGATGTGGCCAGATTCAAGGGCTTTAATAATGTCATACAGTTCTCTACCAATCCCCCAGTCTCAGTTGATTGCCTCTGCTTGGCAATGGCTTTAAGGTTTTTTAATAGGTTTTAAGGTTTTTTTAATAGGTTTTCTTCATACAGTAGGAAGGATGTGTGAGGATAGCCTCATAATCATGCCATCCTTGCTTTACAACCCCATGAAAGAGAACATCTTCCCTGATAACACTAATAGAAATGTCACAGAGAGTACTCTGATGGTGCAGCTGGACCACATTTCCATGCCAATCAAAATCAGAGGATTGCGCTAGGCTGGCCAGATTTCTGTCACTTCTTGCTTCAGTGACCAGCAAGGCAGCCTCATTTAAACCAGAAGCCTATTGGAAAGAAATAGGGAAAGAAAAGAAGGCATGCTGGACCGATAGTTATCAACACAGTTCCAGTGTTTCCCAAATGCTGAGATATTCTAGAAGGCTCTGTATAAATTTTTTTCTAGGAAAGATTTAAAACTCCAAATAACAAAAATAACATAGTTTTGATGACAGACTACTATGTTAACTTAAAATTCCAGCAGAATAATCTATTTTCTGATTTTGTTGTCTGTGGAAGAAAACATGTTTTCACATAAAACTTGACTCCTGACTTTGTGGATGGAAAATACATATAAAACTCTTAGTCCAAAGAGTTGGAAAGATGTGCTTTGTTCTATGCTCTTTGAGCAAGCAATTCTTTCCATATTAGATCTCCTGGAGGTAGACCTTTCCATCAAGTACAAAGAATTTTTTTCAGGCTCCCTCCTATCTTTTACTAATTGGGCTGAAATTTGGCCACTTGCCTTTTTCAAATAAAAAGAGGGTGACCAAGATCACCGGAAAATAGCTAATTATGCCCACAATGGGAAAATTATTCCTGTGAGTAAGTACTTTGGAGTGTAAAACACAGTCCCAAATCTAATCACAATATTATCTCTCTTTAACTGTTATTCAACTGTTCAACCTGGAATGTTCATTAGATAAGCAAGTAAGCATAGAGTCAATATTTTTTTTGTTCCAATACAATATTAGTAAAGACTATTATAGACGACCTAAAATTAAAGTCAAATTTGGAAGGTTTTATATCATTTTTAATTGGATAAGCATGTTACAGTCTTTCAGATGTAGTTATTTGATTACAATGTACACATATAATTCACGAGTTTTAGTTTTTATAAGCTAAATTTTCCAAATTTCAGTTATATTAACTAGATGGACATCATATTTGGGAATATATTTGCAATCATTCACTTTATTTGATATTTACATAACTGATTTAAATGATAGAATAAAAAATATTATTTCTGCATACAATAAAATAATTCAAAATGCATATGGTCACCACCTTGAAATAAAGGGTTGTTTTCATCACTAATGCTATTGAAACTGTGGCAAATAACTCCCAACAAGTATAAGCTCACTTATGTTTCAACAAAATTTTAATGTGATATAATGATAATAGTAATAGCTAACATTCACTAAATTCTAAAATACTTATGTACATTATCTCATTTTATTTTCAGAATAGCCTTCTAGTATAGGAACTATTTTGAAAAGGACAAAACTATTCTTACAGAAGTTGTTGAACTTGCAAGTGTTGAGAATGAGGTGGGTAGAAGTTTGACTCGTATTTGTAACCAGTACAAACACTGCCTCTACTTGTAACTGGTATTATACATTGTCCCTCTATACAGTAATTATTAAATATCAATTGGGTGTTACTTTATTTATTTCAATATCTCCCTGGAAAAAGAAAAACTATCCTTAGTCAATGGGATAATATTTACAATATATGTTTTCTTAGCATGTGAAACATAATAGTTATAATTAAACTCAGGTGTCTCTGCAAAAACAAAATACTTTCTGGAGATTTTTAAGACAGTTTTTATTGACTTTTTAAATTGACTATTAGATGGGTTTTATACTAGGTTATTCATAGGATTGTGGTGAATTAAATGTGATAATCTTTCTTACTATTTCACTGACTACCTTGTAGAGTTTATTCATTATTGAATCATTTCTTAACATACTCTATAATTTTTGACACTCTATAATTTAAAAATTATTGTCTGGATCATTTTCCATTAAATGCAAAATAGATAAAAACCCAAAGTAGACAAAATTCAAAAAATCCAGTCCCAGGAGCATTAAGACTATTCCAGTGATGATAGTAAAGAGTTTAGTTTGGCCTCAATGAACTGATCAGATTCCATTCTGAGAAGTCTGGCAAGGGTCTTATGAAAGCGTGTGTTTGCTTTTTCTAACTTTGATTTTTTTGCAGTGGAGAAGAGAGAACTAGACTTTCCCCAAAAGGCCTCTCAAAAGTAAGAATAGCTCTAAAAAGAGACAGTCTATGAGGAGGTGGAATCAAGATGTGATTTTTTTTGGCCTTGAAACCTTTCCCCTACTTCCCATGTAACAAAAGAAAAATCATCTAGCCAAATGGTCCACTTTCTTTGTCTTAGATTCAAACTCAAACTCCTTTGGGCAAGTGGTGGAAAGAGACCTAGGGAACATCTTTGTGGGCCAAAAAAAAAAAACTGTCAGGAATGACTTGGTTTCATGGATATTCTGGATTTTGGTTACATTGAACAAAGCTGTCCCTATATACTAACTGTTATATATATATATATATATATATTTAACCCCTCCCAAAGGCTGACATTTATTTTATCCTACTCCTTCATTTTATAAATGAGTCACCTGGGAGATATGTAACTTGCTCAAGCTCATTGAATGACAGTAGGACTAACTTCCTGTCTTAAATACAGGTGAAATCATCCTTCACAGTCTCATGAATGAATCCTATGGACAGTATTTAAAAGTAATGAAGTAACACTCTAGAATAAGCATAAGATTACTGCTCTTCAACTTGATTTATATATTTTCATTAAGGGCAGAAATCTTAACTTACATTCACTTACACTTCCCTACACAACTAAGTGAAAGCAGGTGCTCAATAATTGGGGTAACAGGACTAATTGAATTTCTACAAGTATTTCTTAATTTAAAATGCATTTCAAAGTAGTGGAAAGAGAGACAATACATGTGGTTTTTATTTTGGTACCTTACTAGAATGACCAGTCTGAGTTGTTAAGCCATTTACTAATATAAGTTTTTAAAAAAATCAAGTATCACATTAATAAGAAAAGGATTTAAAGAAGAAATTGTGTGGGAAGAAAATATAAATGTGTTTTATGGGTAAAAATGAAATGAAATGTGAAATTGGATGGTTAAGGGAAGTAACTGAATAAGTGAAATAGAAACATACAGAATACTGTCTATACCTTTTAAACCTTAATTTTCTAAGCAAGTGACTCAATTCTGAGTTAGGATGGTAAGGGGAAAAAGGTCCTGGATTTAGGGTCAGAGAGTCTGAGCTCTTAACTTGGGGTCAGCCTTAAGCATCTAAAATATGTGAAGTATTATAATATATATAATAAAATATGCTGATCTTGTCCAAATCACTAAAATATATATGGGGACTTCTCTGGTTCATTCAGTTGATATTATCATTGCACAACTAATTCAAATGAGAGTAATAAAGATAATAGCAATGGCTAATGCCTATTGGGTGTTTATTATGAGACAAGTTCTTTATACCCATCATGTAACTGAACACTTAAAACAACCTGACAAGATGAGTCATGATAAAAATTCTAGGCAACATTGATTGAGACTCTAGTTGCATATCCATTTTCAGGTCAAGAAAAAGGCATGGTGGTATAAGCATTGTCAGAACTGGAATTTGCAGCTATGTCTCTCAGACCCCTGCATATTTCTAACAAGTATTCAATAGAAAACAGGGAGCTAAAGATCAAGTTCAGTACTCATTTCCTAGTTTGGTAAACCAAGCAGAAAAGAGTTCATTTTCTTAAAATCACAGCAATTTAGGAGCAGATGGAAAGAATTCTTCTTGCTAATGAGATTGCCTCACTCTATAATAAGTGTATTCTAAGGTTAGGGGGTATGACTAGCCAGTTGGGAAGCAGAAAGTTACCACTTAGGTTTGACGAGAAAATGTAATTTTTGATTAGGTGAGGATTTGTAGTTAGTTTTCTATAATGGCTATATGAAATTGCCACAGATTTAATAACTTAAAACAGCACACATCTATTATCCCATAGTTGTATAAGCGATAGGTCCCATGGGCTGGCTAGTGTCTCTATTTCAAGTCTCATAATGACAGAATCAAGGTGTTAGTAGTACTGTTTTCTTTTGGAAGTTCTGGGAGAGAATCTACTTCCAGACTCATTCAGGTTGATGGCAGAATTCAATTCCTTGAGGCTGTATAGCTGAAGTCCCCATTTCCTTGCTGGCTGTGAGTTTGAGGGCCACTTTCATCTCCTGGAGGCCTCTTTCTGGTCCTTGCATGTGGGCTCCTGTACAGTAGAGCCAGGCACAGTGCACCAGTACCTTATAAAGGTTGCCATCTCTCTCCTGCTTCCTTTGCTTCTGGTGCATCTTTCTGGCTCTTCAACCTTCAGCTTCCACTTCGGAGAGCTCAGATTGTCAGTTTAGACCATCCAGGATTATGCATGCTAAACCAGAATAATCTTTCCATTTTAAGGTACATAACCTTAAAATCACAGATGCTAGGGACTAGACATGGAAATATTTGGGCTCTCATTATCCTGCACATCACAGGATTCTTCTGTTTATAGCTGATTATAGCTGATTTTGTGTATACCTAATTTTTCTGTCTACACTGGTTCTCAATTCTAGCTTTGAATTAGAATCACCTGGGAACTTGACGAAATGCTTATACTGGACCCCATTTGAAATGAACTGAATCTGAATTTCTTGGAGTAGAATCCAAGGAATGATCCTTTTTTAAAAGAACCAGAAAATTATAATATGCTTGATAGGGTTAAGAATACCCCAAAACACCAGGTTTCTCCAACTTGATTAAATTCATTTTGCAAGTAATCCATTCTAAACACACTTGCTGTATACCCTCTTTATGCCCCCATTCTGCTAAGGTTTGGAGTCACAGAGATGGCAGGATGCATGTCCTATTCTTACTGTGTTTCACAGCCAGTGGTACAAACAGACAAAAAAAGGAATAATTACATTACCTGATATGTCTTAAAATACATGTTTGAATAACTTGCTCAGGGAGTTCTGAGACATTAATTGTGCTTGGGAACATTGCAGAATATTTTGCTTGATTTATACTTAAAATAGTTCTTTCTAAGAGTGTCTGACTAGTACCTAGAGCCAGAGTAATATAAGTGTGTCCAGGTTTCGGCATGGCCCAATGAGGATACTATACATATATTGTGCTTCCCAAAATTTAACAGGCCAAGAATTTCCTTGGATGTTTACAAAAAATGCAGATTCCCAGGTTCCTCTCTCGAAGACCTGACACAAGGAGTCTGTGGTAGTGCTTAGACATTTTAATACATTCAGTAAATTCTGGTGGTGATTTTGAAACTGGTGATGCATGAACCCACACTTTAAAGAACATGAGTTTATGCTACATCAGTGACTTGGTAGTTGTTCATTCAGTAGTCTAAAAAATGATGCAAGTCCCAGGCAATATTATCAAAAAGGCTTATAGTTTGAGTTTCTTACATCAGTCACAGATCTTTAAGTAAAAGTCTCTTTATATTTAAATTTTGTTACTGCTTTGTGTATTGAAAGTGTTAGAAACATTCCAGACCTGGATGAAGTGGGGAATTAAAACCTTATACTGACATCTCTTTTTCAAAAACTCTGTTGGAAGGAAAGACACTATTTTGCAAGAATAATTCTAACACAGAGACAGGTTTTGCCAAAAAATAAGCATTGAGGAGAAAATAAAAGATAACTAAGATTTGGTTCTTTGACATTTTTCAGTGGCACAATCTATTCCACATAGTATAGAATGACAGAAAAAAGCTTCCATTTGTCATACAGGTGTTGAATTTGGCATTAGAGGAGAGCACTTAATTCTTGTTTCAACTCAGGAGAAATGTAGGTAGGTTAATATGTCATAAAGGAAGGCGTGTACTTAGACAGGAAACAGCTTCACTTTGTTCACACAAATGGTCAGGATACTTAATGGAAAATTAGATATGTGTGGGAAATGCTTCTGTTAGCCAGCTTTATAGCGACTAGATAAATAAATGAAGAGAATATGGTTTAGAGCCTGTAGAAATCAAGATATCTTGAAAATAGAGGATTAGAAGGTGAAAGTTGTTTGTTTTTTAAAATCTTGAAGTTAGCATTAACTTTTAATATTAGGGTTAGGTGACACAACTAAGAATGAGAATTAAAGTAAAGAAAAAGAAACTGATGGAACATTAACTTTTAATATTAGGGTTAGGTGACTCAACTAAGAATGAGAATTATAGTAAAGAAAAAGAAATTAATGGAAAATGTGTATAAGAATAATAAAATTTGAGAAAAGAAGAAGCCTTACAGGTTTGTAAGGCACTGGTATGTATTTATAGGATTTATAGTTTTGTGTTCTGATAAGTTAGTATTGATTAAGTCTGATCTTTATTTACATAGAACAAAACACGTTTTATTCTGAAGTAAGCTAAGAAGATTGATTAAAAATTTGGTCTTGGAAATGAAAAATGTCTTGTGATGTGGATCTATGGTAATTTTGAGAAATGAAACCAGAATGATGTTACTTAAAGCCCTGAGTAACTACTAGGAAGCTATATTTCAAAAGTTATTTGAAGTTTTAAGACATTCTTCATTTCTCAAAGTTCTTTCTGTGATGAAATAATCATTTTTATTTTATATTGGTGATTCATTAGGGAAGAAGCTTGGAAACTTTTTAGAAATAAGGTATTTTTTATTCCAAGTGTATCAGCTAAGGAATTTTATTTCTAGTAGTAGAACAAATCTTCCATTTTAATTTTGAGAAGTGAAAATGAAAGTACTTATAGCGTCCATGAAGTCAGTAGTTAGAAAGAGAAAATGCCAGTAACTACTACTAGTACCCTTGCAATTACAAATTCACATAAGAGTTTAGAGTTTTCTCAGTTTTAGAGAAGTTCTTTTCCTACTAAACAAACATAACAACACTTAGAAAAAAATCCAATGGCAGATTTAGTCATTTAACTTGACTTCAATTATGTGCTTGATTTCTCCTCAAAATTAAATGCAAACCACTCTATTTTACAAGGCAACAAGCAACTCAATTGTCAGTAAATAATTTAACAGAATCTAAAAAGATTTACAATGATTTGCTCAACAGCTTTGGTCAGTTAATATCAAATGCATTCTAGCAAAGAACAATTTGAAATAAGCGAAGTATAGAAGAGAGAACCACTTGCTGAATTAATACATTAGAGGCAGTATGCAAAGAACCAATGAGCTAAACCAGAGGAATAGAATTAGACATAATTCTCCTCATAGCAATCTTTCCATTACAACTACCAATATGAGACTTAGTCTAAACTGACCTTCAGATGTACATGCAATGGCATTATCTACATGCCCAGTCATAACCCCTCCATTACTGACCTACAGAACCCTTGATAAAAGGGTTGATATTCCTTCATCATTACTATTAACCACATTCGTCTGCTGGCAGGAAAATTTGATAGGTCCTTTGTAGAGTAGATGTCCCAAGTGAATTGGTTCACCACATAAAATGGACATTGTCAGGTCTCAAGGAGAGTGCAGCTGCCCACCATGTGTTTGAAAGACTGCCACGCCAACTTGCTGCTCCATCGTTGATAAAAACCAGGGCCACAGAACTGCCCCCTTGTTTAGGAGCTACAGGTTTACACAGTGCAAAATACAAACTTGCTCCTAGTAACACATTTTCCAGATTACCAGGGATTAGGTTGAAGAAGGAAAGCTATAAAAAGTGGAATTATTTCCACTGATAAATATTTTGTGAGTTGAACAGAATACTCTTAAATTATTGGTGCCAGGATGACCTTAGTGAACACTAAGATATATTTCACTAGAATACTTTGTGGAACTGTGATTTTGAAGCCTATTAGATAAGCAACAAAAATAACTGCCAGTGTTGGATGAAATGTTTTTCAAATAGTTGGGTTTGGGAAAACTCCAAAGATGTTTTTTGAAGCACTTTCCCCTTCAATTTTTGAAGCCGTGTATATATTAAAGGTAATTTGATCCTGACTCGTGTTAAATCACCAAAGCACTGTTTCAAAAAAAAACCTGTCTGAATTCCAAATAGAATAATACTTCTTTACATTCTAATCTGTATATTTCTATACATATATTTAATATAGAAAAATATGAACAGTCAATATTTTAAAAGTAGCTTAATCTTTATAATTTTCATAGTCAATAAACTACTGTTTATTCAATACCCAAAGAGTACACAGAACTCAAAAACTGAATAGTTTTCAGGTCCTTATTTTGTAATAAAGTAAACACAATGATAACAAGAACTTTCCCAATCATCATTGTCAGTATATATTCAAACACTATCTGAAGCCTTCTAATAGAAGAAATGATAATTAATAGTTATGATTAGTGCTCTTGATCAAAGGTTTAAAATCCTAAAGTGCTTTACTCGTTCGGTTTTTTTCATTCATTTATTCATTCATTCACACAGCAAATGTAAATTAACTGCCAGTCACAAAAGATAAAAAGATTCTGGCTTTCAGAAGCCATACCAGCAAGGGAAATAGATATATGTAACCAAGACCAATAAAACTTTCCAATAAACGATTAAAGAGTTATTCAAAGGAAGGTTAAACAATGGTTTCAGATCAGAGATTATTTTTATCATGTTCTAGTTCTTTGAATTTTACTTAAATAAAATATTAAGTTAACTGCTCCGTGTCTCAGCCATTCTGCATGAATAAAAATTGATGTAAATTTCTCCATGTAATGTAAAACAACAAGGATTTGTCACAAAACAAAAATATATTGTAAGCAAAAGAAATTTTTTTTAATTGAAAGAGCTTAATAAAAATTGTATATAGTGGTTTTTCTTTGAAAAGTTCAATTTATCATGGAATTATTTTAGCTCATTAAAATATTAAATTATTACATCAATCAATATTTCAGGTCATGACGCCTGGATTTAAGAAATTACTTAAGACAATGTCAAATATGATTCAAGAGAAAATGTGATTTGAGTCTGGAGACAATTGTGCATGTAAGTATTGGAAAATTACATTTTCTCATGACAAGATGTAATAAAAACTAAAATATCAACTCATTAATTACTGAATTGTAAAATCTTTGATTGATTGTTCTCCTTCTTTTACAATTTTTTATATCTAAAATTACTACAATGCTTCCTGATTTTTTGGTTGTATTTTTTTTAAGATCAACTAAAAATAAAAATCCAGTATAATTGATAGAAGAGAAAACATTATTCAGAAGATTGCTACAATTGAAAAGAAAGGCTGCTTGTAGGTGAGTCAGGAGAGCCAGCAATGGCACAGATTCTATGTACTAGTTAATGGTGTGCTCTTATTGCATGTGGTAATAAAAATAATAAAACATGTGGCAAAAATTTTTATAATTCTTATTCTAACATTTGACCTACAACAAAAATCATGACAAATTTCCTAACAAGATTAAGTCTAAGTTCAAAGTTCTCTGGCAAATATCTATAGGTTGGAATTTTTTATCTTCATTGAAAAATATTTTTTACACATTCAGTTAAGTAAATGTATTTTATGACTATACCATAGTAATCTAGATCTCATAAAAATACAATCAGAGTAGATTACTCATGAACCTTATAAGGAGAAAGCATCATACGCTTTACCCCAGCAATGTTTGTCTCCTAGAATTAAGAAGTTAAGGGGTGGTGTTTTAGAGTCTATTTTTCATTAGCTCAGAATTGTATATACCATTAGAATATTAACAGAAATACTTAATTTGGTATTGTTCATCTCCTCTAACTTTATTTTAATAATGTAGATGACTTGGAAAATCCTTTATTTCTTGGTTACAGAAAATTAAATCCTACAATGATGAATAATTTCTACTAAATTATAAGGCCATTTTTATGATCATATGGATGTTGATTCTCAAGAAATTGGCCCAAGAACAATTTTCCCTTTTAAATTAAAAAGTCAAACAATTGAAAATAAGATGAATACTTATAGGAAATAAAGAATATATTTATAAAGCATAAAAATACTTATAGGAAATAAAGATAAGCTTTATAGTAAAGTATGCTATCAAAATTTGTGCTTTCATGTTCTTGTAAAACTGTTTTAATAATCTTAATCATTTTATCACAATTTTGGTAAGGCAAATAAAGCAAGACGTTGTCTAATTACTTATATATCTAAGAAGTTTTCCTGTTTGCAAACTAATTAAATAAAATTAAAATGGGTTTAATTAAGCTCTTTAGTATGTTAAGCTATGATGCTCTCAATATTTGTAATACATAATCCTTCAAGAAAAATTGTGTGGTTTTAAAATAAATTTTCTGTTGAGAATCATATGTATTAATTTTATAAATACTGATGAATTATATTTCCTTTATTTTTCTACTGCAGTTTGATTTATATTATATTGCACATTTTGACTTTAATGATGGAGAAAAAGTGTATCCTGTATTTTCTGTTTCTCTTGCCTTTTTGTACGGTAAGCATAAATTCCTATCCATGATTATTTGTTTTAACTTCCAATATACATGTAATTGATAAACGTTAATAACAACAAAGTGACATTCAGTTATTTGATGCATAAATTAAGTACATTTTTATATCCAATCAATGCAGCAATAATTTATTTCTTTTCAGTGTATACATTTAGGCTTTTAATCCTGTGCAGGCTCTACAGGATGGTAGGGTAGTAGTGGGGAAAGTGAAAGTGGAGAAGATGAAAAGATACCGATGTGAAAGACACCAGATGGAAGTAGTTACCAGAGTTTGAGGGGGAAAAAAATGGAATGGCTTTATAGTACAGTTGTAGAGAGTAAATCAAATATTTTCGTAGTGGATCAAATATTTTAATACTTGATTCCTCATTAGATACATTAAAAAAAGTAGAGATTCCAACCTGCTGATTTTTCTCCCATTCTGCCAACTGACTGACTTATATTGATTGAAAAGCAATTCATAATTATGCAGTTTTAAATTAATTTCCTCATTAATTAATTCAAATAAATATTAAGCGTCCTTTTTCTGACAGACACTGATGCTAAACTAAGTTTGTGCCAGGTGTGTAGGTGAGTGTGTGCATTCGTCAGGGATGTAGGGCTGGAGGTGGAAGGTAGACTAAAATGGCTAAAAAGCAGTTGCTATATGGGAGGGATCATATGTCTTATACTTTAAATTTTATTTTTATTTACAGAAATATTTTGCTCATATTTGTTTCTGTCCCACATTAAAACAATGACCACACTTCATCTCATTATATGTATGAAAAATTGAGAGACATAATCTCATCTAATTCCATGTCAGCAAATAATTTTTCTGTGGTATTTCCAAGAACCCCATAAAGATCCAAAGGAACTCAAGAAAAATATAGAAACCCTAAATGGGAAACAAGCAAGACTATATTCCTATCAGTATTTGTATTTGAAAACATTCTTAAGTCTAGAAGTAGTCCAAATTCTGCACTTCTTAGATGTTATCTTAGGTAAATAGACTGCAATCCAAGAAACAGGACTCCTGTTTCTTCAGTTCACACCCTCCACTGAATGTGCCAATGAGCTGCAGAGGCCAACATTGCTTCCCTGTAACAAATTATTAATCTGATTATTGTAATTTAAGGAATTGTGACCATTTCTCTTGACTTCATTCAGGAAGTGTGCAAAACTGAGTTTTTATTTCAAATAAGAATAAAAATGATATGATTTTATGCAATTCTATAAACGTCCTGAGAACAGGAGGAAAAAAATGTTAATTTTCTTGATGTTGTTAATTTTCATTTATTACTTGTGCAGCACAACCGCTGCATGAATCTTTATTAGGAAATTAAAACCAATCAAAGAATGAATGACCATTAATGTTTAATGGTGGTCAGGTGATGCTGAAACTGGTGCCACATGCTGAGAACCTTAGTGTTTAGACCTTACTAAATTCAACTTCCTGCTAGAGAACCAGAAAATCGAGAATAAGGAAACACGAGTAGAAATATAATTGCTTATGGAATATAGTTAATAGAAATAACACAAAAATGAAGAAGAAATAAGACCGAAGAGAGTTTTATACAAGCTTCATTTAGAAAAAAAAAAAAGTAGAAATCGAAGTGGAACTGAAGCTTAAAACAGTGCTACTAAATTGGAAGAACATAAATATATACTTTGTTCTAAACTTTTGTTGATCTGCATACAATAACTACTGTATTTACCAACATCAGAAATGAACTTGTCAATATTTTAATTACCAAAATATAATGATAAAAATGGCAACACTTTTGAGCATTGACCGTGTGCTACATATTTTTCCTTTCTGTTATCTTAATACCGTTTCATCCCACTTTACAATAAAACTACAGAGTCTTAGGGAGGTTAAATATGTCGCCTACATCCACAGAGCAGGTGAAAAAACACAGCTCTGTATTCTAGAGCACACGTCCTGAAGCCAGCTCCCACAGGCTTCTAAGCTGACTGCCCACTGTGCTTCCCAGCGCTGCCACTGTCAATTTCTTGTGGTTGCTGGCAATTGGACGTGGTAAGGATACTTATACCATGGAAACTGGCAAACACTACAAATCAGGGATTTTTCCCTCCAGAGCCAGTTGACCATGCACTTATTCTTTTCCACTGCGACAGATTGCCTACAACAGACACTCTCACAATTCTGAAGTTTTATTATTTTTTAATCCCTTAGATTCTTGTCATAGCAGAATTGGAAGAAGAGGAGAGCCCTGATCACGTAATTCAGTTGGGTGTTACTAGAAATAAAATCATGACAGCTCAGTATGAATGTTACCAAAAAATTATGCAAGACCCTATTCAACAAACAGAAGGTAAACATAACTATTTAGTTTTTAAATGTACTTGATATATTTTTAAAAGAAAATTACCCCATTCCATCATTTTGGGTTCCCTAGGTCCATTAACTAGTCGCTGATTTCTCTGGTGTATGTGCAGTTTTAATTATTTATTTATGAAGAACATTTTATGACATAGTTTATCTTGCTCCTTTAAAAAAGTCCTAATAAAATATATGTGCAACAGGGATATTTTTAACAACACTTTTAATGGTATAAAAATAAAAATATCAAGTATGTGTCTTAAATTAAATCAGTGATAGTTGATCTTTATTTTATGTAATTTGTATTTCTTTTCCTCACAATCTGCTTGCTAAGAGGCTTGCATAATAAAATGACAATTTTTTGACATAACACATACTTTGAATATTATGTTTCGAGCAAAATTAATGCAGTCTTAGTGGTTTTGTTTCCACTAAGTTATTACTTAGATATTTTTGTAGCATTTACTGAGGGCCTACTAAGTGCTGAGTATTTGCCTTGATTCTAAAGATATAAAGATGAGCAGCATAAGAAGAGTTACCAGGTTTAGAAAAAACAAAAGTCAAAAACAGGTCCTGCACTCTATCTGGCAACCCTAAAGACAGGTTGTCTTCAAAATATAAAATGCAAAACTCAGAGTGAAACAAAGCAAGTAAAGACTTTAGATTTTCTAAATTTTGAAACTATCAGTGCAAACAGATCTTAAAATTTTGGAAAAAAACATTTGATAGTATAATATATAATGTTTCTTATAAAAAAGAAATGTTAAAAGTAGATTATTAGTAGTATTTGTAATGACAAATTAACTTGCTTGTGAGAAAAAGAAAAAAGTGATTTTTTTCCATATTGGTCAACTTTTAGAATCTTAATTTAACTGAATGATATAATTTGTTTATTTTTGAAGAAGTATTTAGATATACCTGTTCAAATATTTTTTTATTATATTTTGTCAGTTAAAAAATTTCTTTAAAATATGCTAGACAATGAAAAATTATCTGTTATTAGGTCATTAGGGGTTGAATTATCAAGTAATTAAAAATTTGTGTACACATTTTGTGTTAATAATTTGGCTCTCACTTTATTCCATTAAAATATAAGATTAGTTTAAAATTTGAATTAACCCCTTCCAAATCATGTTGATATATGTAAAAGTAATCTTCAAATCTAATTGCTGAACAATAGGGATATCTTAATGTGAGTTTCATAATATAGTAATTTGTGATAAAGTAAGTTTAGGATCACTGCATAATAAATCTTCATCTTGGGGCTTCATAATGCACTTTGTAATTTTAAATAATCTAGAAGGTCTTGCAATGAAGACCTGTCTTTAACTTCAAGTGTCCAGAGTGTATTTAAGCACAGAAACTCTTCTAATGGAATATCTACTCATGTCTCACTCAAATGCAATACAACGCACTTTGAAAGATTCTGGACCTTGTAGTCATGCTGCCAGTGCTGCTGTTTATGAAGTGGAATCTTTTGGAGCAGTGATAAGGACTTTTTGGGATGCTTTCTAAAATCATATCAGGAAATTTTTGATAGGCCACAAAATGCATTAATAATATATGGATAAACTTTTAAATAAGTGTTAGGAAATTACTGGAAAGAAAAGTGAGATTACCTGAAGTTTTTAAAAAATTATAATTATTTTTGATTTTCAGGCCAATACAATTTTTTTTCTATTTCTGTGAAGGCCAGATTGATTCTGAGATTGCTGTATTTCTCCGTTAAAATTACTATACATTTCATGCAGCATTCAGGTTCCTATCTGTGTTTATCTAACAAGGTGGAAAATTATTTAATTACAGACTGGGATAATATTGGAACATTGGTCATTTTATTTTTCTATGCCTTTTATAAAAACTTTACATATTTCCATGTAAAATGTTGGTAAGAGAAAAATGTAGCCCATTTGGAAAAAAAGAGAATTTGATGGAGGACTTAAATGAGTGCGTCAGAGTTTATATGATGAAGTAGGAAATATTGGAATAGTCATTTGTCCATTTAAGAAAATACTAATATATTGTCCGAAGAGCACAGTTTCTAAATATAACATGCTTCCCATTTCCTATATGTTTTAGATTTCAAGCTTAGGGACACTAATTAACCACTACTCTATGGTTAAAGACAACCAGGAAAAACCACGTTACTATTGAACAAAGAACTACTTTTAAGTATTAGAATTAAAGCTAAACTTTTTATATATATTTTAAGATATTTCTAAATTTAATTTAGCCATTTGTGAAAATCCAAGTAATTGTTATAGATTATGATGTCTTCATTTCCAGTAGACAGACTTTATTCCCTGTCAATATTAACTCACTATTAATGCTTTGTGTCTTCATGTATAACTAGAGGGATTGTTAATCCTAATTTTTGTTCTTAAGGCATTTACTGCAACAGAACCTGGGATGGATGGCTGTGCTGGAATGACGTTGCTGCAGGAACCGAATCAATGCAACACTGCCCCGATTACTTTCAGGATTTTGATCCTTCCGGTAAAAACAAAATTTATATACAAATTTTCTTGACCTCTATTTAATAAACCCTAGCTCAATTAATTAATGTTTTCTTTTTTCCTTTTTATATTTAAAGAAAAAGTTACAAAGATCTGTGACCAAGATGGAAACTGGTTTAGACATCCAGCAAGCAACAGAACATGGACAAATTATACCCAGTGTAATGTTAACACACATGAGAAAGTTAAGGTACATAATACTTATAAACTGAAATTGAATTTACACCTTCTATTTAAAAAGTTAGTTTCCAATACAGTATTGGAGAATATTTAGCTAGTGTTCCATTCCATTGTAAAGCCTTTTCATAGTATACTTGAGAAACAAAATGAAGAAAAATATCTTTATAGAAATTATTATTTATTCTGTCATTATAGTGAGAAAGCAATCCTGCTAGGTCACAGTGTAATTTACAAGTCAGTGTCTCTGTATTAGCTTCAAATTTTTCAAAGAAAATACTTTAATAGTGTAAGAAAGGGGAAAATTTTCATTTGTGGTGGAATTTCTAGAATTATTTTCAGGAATTGTGCACACATAGAAGGCTTTCATTCTGACTGGTAGTTAGGTCACCCTCTTTCACATTCCCACTTTTAACACCACACATTAAAGTCAAGGTTAGTCACAGTTTGCAACAACAATAAAACTTTGATACAAAGTACATGCATATATGTTCACGTATGTGTCTATAGAGAGGCAGTTTGTTTTAAAACTGAGTCCTGATACTTGACGTCCTGTTTCCTGGTCACCCTTACCAGCTATGGGACCTTAGGCAAGCTGTAACCTCTCTCTGCCTCAGCCCCCCTTGTATATAAAATAACAATAAATGTACCCTCAGGGTTTTCATAAGGATTAACTGAATATGAGGAATATACTAAAGACTAAGAAGCATATATTAAGCCCTTGGTAACTGTCAGATATCCTTATAATTTTAAATCATGTATTCTTTTTTAATTCAAAGAAGAATTTGAAGAAAATTATAAAAACACACAATAAAATGGTTAAAAATAAACAGAATACAAACAAATAAAAATCAAAGAGAAAAAGTCAAAACCAGAAGAAAGAAATTATTTGTACAGATCAGAGGCTCCTATAAATTACTGTATTGAGATTTGTCTTAGAGCATTAAATTTGTCAAAGTAAAAAGAAAAACCCTGTTGGAAAAGAAAGCCTCATCTAGCATTTAAGACTAAACAAACAAACAAACAAAAGTCATCAAATAGTATTTGATTTAAGGTGCACAAAGTGAGTGAAAATTGTCACTATCCCCCAAAATATAAAATATTAGTTTCATATATTTTATAACCCAGATCAATAAAATTATTCATTTATTGAATATATGACTTCTACTTATTTAAATAAAAAGGGCATGCAACTTATAAATTTGATGTCCTTAATAAATTTGCATAGATATTCTTCATTCCAGATATAGTACAGTATTTATTGGTATGTAAGCTAAATGGTAAAGCTATCAATCACACTATTTTTAAAAACATAATACATTCTGTTGAATTTGAGCTTATGCACATGTAGGATTATAGTATTGATATGAGCTCTCTTTCTTTTATTCATATAAATTATAGACTGCACTGAATTTGTTTTACTTGACTATAATTGGACACGGATTATCTATTGCATCACTGCTTCTCTCGCTTGGCATATTCTTTTATTTCAAGTAAGTACATGTAAAATATTTTTCTAATTTACCAGTTGTCTTTGGTGAGTGTTATGTGCATGTTTATGTCACATGCTGATAATTTATATGAAATATAGATGATTTATAATGTTTAAAATAATTGAAGGTTTAAAATAATTTGAAATATGTTGACCTTATCCTGACTTTATAAAGAGGAACTTGATGAAATATCTTCACAAAATTAGTCAATGTAAAGATGAAATCATGTGGGAAGAAGGGAGCCAAAATCAGTATGTAAACCTGTCTGTAGTTGCTTTGGACACTTAAATATTACAGGCCTTTTTAGTTGACTTTTTAACTTCTTGGTCAGTTTAGTATCAGTATACATGGAAGAGTAGGTACAGTATAAGAACCAGTATTTTGTACAAATGATAGCAACAGCATTTAATAATATCATTAAACTTTTACTTTACAAAAACTGCGTATCTACCCTACATACAAACAGGTACACAGAGATAATTAGTTTCAAAGTAGCTAATATTAGTTAGGGTTCTTTTTTAACATGAAGACTCCAGCAACTACAACTCCATATAAAGTAAGTCAGCCTCTACTGTAAAGGTATAAAATAGTTACTTTATCATAAGATAAACTCATCGAAGAATTATTTAAGACAGTCTTAAAGGCTTTCTTGGGAAAAAAAGGTATGTTTTAAATATTTCTAACCCTTAATTTAAAAAAAAATGCAGCCCTTAGTTAAAAACAAACTATAATCTTGAGAAATGAGATTTGCAATTAAATTTGTAACATTAAAAAAATAAAAAGCAATTTAAGCATGTTACTAATTTTCAATAAAGAAATATACACACCTGTAATTCTAATATCCTATTGGGATAGCAATTATACTGCATGCCAAAATCAGCAGTCAAATAGAGAGCAACAGTCCAAGTCTTATGGCCCCAAACAAGTTTGAATTTAGCAAGGATATAAATATAGTCCTGCACTAATTGCATAAAGTCAAATGCAAAATTAACAAAGCTTCTTCATGAAAAAGCTTATGATTTCACAGAAATAATGTTTGCTGTGACCTGATGAGGCAATAGTGGGATTATCAAATGTAAACAATGCTACAAACCAGACTATACCAATAAATGTAAAGTGCCAGAATCCAGACCTGTCATTAACTCTGTTCACTATGGAACGACTTCATGAGAGAAAAAGGGGATATCGTAAGAATTGGTTTATCAGGATGGTGAAGAAATTTAAGAAAATAATGCCTATGAATAACGGAGTCAAGGTACCAAGAATGTTAAGCCAGAAAAAGACAAAATAAAGGGTTACAACAGACAACTTCAAGAATCCAAATGACTGTAATTGGGATTAGAGTTTGTATAATAATTTAGTAAGAAAGAATATTTGGCTTAATTTAAAAAAGTCAAAACTCCAACAGCTAAACAAAATAGAATGTACCACCATTGACCAAATGAGTTTCCTGTCACTCAAGATTTTCAGACAGAAATTAGATATTGGTGTATTAGGAATTTTGAAATGAGTGAATTCCTACCATTTTTTAAAAAGTATTTTGCAAGCTAAAAACAATCTACTCAGAAAAACTATATTTATTATTGATTAGCAATTGAAAGAAAATTTGGTTCAATATTTTTATATCTGTATTTACAAATGTATGTTGCAATTAAAAAGCAAATACTATTAAACAAATACAAGTAATTTTAATTTCTAATTGAAGGCTTGAAATTTAGAACTTCAGAATTTATTTTATCTAAGGAAAAACACTTTTTAAAAATGAAATTGGGTTTATATATCCTAAGTACTTTAGCTTTAAAGATTCAATCTGTAGACTCATTTCTCATTCTAAAAGAGAGGCTAGAAGTTTCATGTTGCTCCAAATGTTGTCCTCATATTTCACATATAAATACGCTTTTTTTCCCAGAAAAAGAGCAAGTTTGTTTTCTTTTTAAATCAAGATCACTGTACACAATAAATACATGTATCATGCTAAAATTCTCATGACAGATCATTTTAAATATGATGTATAGCATGCTATATAGGAAAATCCTTGTCAAAGTAAATGAGGGTTTTGCTAATATATGGATTTGGTTCTTGGGCTCTACATTAAAGAAAAATTTAAGTTTTCAACTAATTACATTGCATATACTTAAAATTTATACTGAAAGTCCAATTAACTGTTCATTCTCTATAGTAAACTGAAAAAATATCTTTAGCAGTTAGTTAACATGACATGTATGTACTTAATTTCAGGTATAATTTTAGTCAACAGTATCATAGAGTAATTAAAAACATGGGATATATTCAAATCTTACCATCATCACTTACTAATAATATGGACTTTGGCCTGATTCTGCTTTTCAATAAAGCTCAGTTTCTTTATAATGAGTCAAAATGTTTAAAATACCAGGTAAAGACACATAGTACCTGGCATGTAGAAATCTCTCAATAAATGGTAAGTGGTATTGATTTTTGTCATTAGACTGTCATTAGTCAATCACATAGGCATATAGACAACACATACAGTCATCTAACATTTCCCTTATGTAATAGTAATACAAATTTGAAAAACAAGTTATTGTGGAGCTTCAAAGATCTATAGGAAGATTAAGGAAGGAAAGAGTCACTTTGACTCCTAGAATTAGAAGATATCTGAAGTGATATCACTGAAGTAAGTGTTAAATGATGGGTGAAATTTCAAGATACAAATAGTAAACTGAAAGAAATGAAGAGATTATCTAACCCAACACCTAATTTTACTCATGTTCTAAGTAGTTAACTGCATTACCCGTACTTCCTCCTGACCTATGTTCTTTCTGTCTGGCTTAGAAATTTTATTTATTTTAGTTGTTTTATAAAAATAGAGAATTTGAACAGAAAAAAAACAAAGCTACAAATTAATTTTTCTTTCTTATTATACATTATCAGGCTTTAAACATGCCAAACCCTCTTCAAGTAAGACCCAGGTATATCATTTTAAATACTTTGTTATATGCCTAGATGTCCTTCATTACAGGATAATGATTATGAGTATGTTCTAAACAGGCACATCTGGCCTCAGTCCCACCTTTGTCATTTACTTGCTGTGTAGCATGGAGCAGGATCTTTGTTTCTCTAATCCTCAATTACACATCTTTTAAAATACAGATTCAATTAGTATCCATATCATAGATTTGGTATAAGGGATGAGATAATATATACACAGTGTTAAGCAGAGTGTCTAGTTCAGAAAACAGTGTCTACTATTGGCATAGTTATCAGTCTTTTTTAGTAGTCCATCAAGAGTTTTATATAAATATTTAGCACTGATAGGCATATTATATCAGTACACTCTTTAAAAACAAAGTTAAAGAGCATGATTTCTAGTTTCATATGTACCATACTTAAAAAGAAATTGTTATAATGTTCATGTAGGAAAATAATAATGAATGAAAAATTTTATAGACCAAATTTGTAATATAGTTATATCAGGAAAACTTGTGGTTAAGTAAACAAGCCAAAAATAATAAATCTTCTTTTATGTCCACAAGATACATAGCTTACTAAATACCTGAATCCATATTAAAGAATTTGTAGTCGGATTTTAAGACACTTCTAACATACACTCCCCAGAACCACCCACTAAAATAGGAATTAATGGAAAGAACATCACGAAGTTAGCTCCATGAGAGTAAGAATCAGCTCTGCTTTGTTTCTTTACACATTCTGGGGCTTGGCGCAGGACCTTGCACATAGTAGTCACTTAATACCTTTTTGAGGAATGAAGACCCAAAGTAACTAGAAAGCTTATATCTAGGACCGACTTTCCCATGACTTCTTAGTGACCTTAGACAAGTCCCTTGAGTTTGTCTGGCCTTTGTTGTCTCCATCAACAAAGAAAAGCATTAGACTAAGGCTCCTTAAAATTCTAATCAGTAGAAGCATCTGTGTAAAACAAGATAGGATACTCTACAGCTCAGTCAAAAGAACACGAAGTCCACCTCAGAAAATACTGAATTGAATGGCTAATAAAGCATATTCATATAGTCAGGAGTAATAGAAATTTGAGCTTTCTTGCAACTAACTTGGAAACAATTCCTAGAGGAACTAATATTTTACATAAAATCATGGTGTAAAAAAAACTCTGTCAATATCTCCTTTCTGCTTCTTAACCAATTCCCCAAACTGCAGTCATTTTTTTTATTATTAAGGTATCATTGATATACAATCTTATGAAGGTTTCACATGAGCAACATTGTGGTTTCAACATTCACCCATATTATCAAGTACCCTCCACACACCCGATTGCAATCATTATCCATCAGCATAGTAAGATCCTATAGAGTCATTACTTCTCTTTTCTGTGCTATACTGTCTTCCCTGTGACCTACCTATATTATATGTGCTAATTATAATGCCCCTTAATCCCCTTCTCCCTCCCTCCTCACCCACCCTCCCCAATCCCTTCCCTTTGGTAACCACTGGTCCCTTCTTGGAGTCTGTGAGTCTGCAAACTGCAGTCATTCTTGTGCAATCTTTTATAGAGATAACTTTTTCAATCATGAGGGTCACTGATCCATCCTAATCAAAACCAAGAACCATACAAAAAGTTGATTTGAGTACTGTTTGTTATTTTTTATTTAGAGAAAGAAAAGTCTACTACTCATCCATGCTTTAAATTAGAAACAGAGAACATAAAACACTATTCACCAAATATACTTCAGTTTTATATTAGAGCCAATTAAAGGGAAGAGTCAGAGTTGGAGATAATAAGAAAGGGAAGAGGAAGAGACAGAACTTTGGGACTTGCCAAGCTCTAAGAGGCAATGCTCTTACTCATAATGATCCTTGGAAAAATAAATCAGACCCCTTTAGATAAAAATATCAATAAATTTTACTGGAATTAGTTATGAATTATATTTTAATTACTGTTTAACATCTGAGAGCATAGCAAATCCTGCTTTTAGTTTCAGCCCAAAGGGCTCCATCTTGCACATCAAAGAGCACATATAACATCTGACTCACATGGGAAAAAA